TACAGTAAAATTTTTAAGACTCTAGCATTTTGATTTAAAAAGTTAAGAGGGGTCAGTTACTTATGCTGCGCACTGTATTAAGCTCTATAGCTATTACAAGCAATATAAAAACCCATATTTGGCAATTAAGCTCCACAACTACGATAGCAGTATAAGGATCTCATATTCTAATTAGGCTCCATAACTACAATAGCATAAATTAATCAAAATTTAATTAAATAGAAATCAACAATGACATTTTCATACTTACTAAATATGATTATTGCTCTTTTTGATTTAGTTGAATCAGTGAATTTTTGCAATTGTTTTTTTGAGTCCACAAATCCTGTGAGTTCCATGATTATGTTATAGGTAGTTGCCTTATATTTGTCATACTTTGTAGAACTTATTTAATAATTACATTTTATATTTCTATTATTCATATATTTTCTTTTTACAAGCTTCCTTTACTAGCATAGATTTCATGAATACACATGAATACTAAAGCAGTTAGGTTATTCATATTATTTTTTAGTTTCTTTCTGCCAAAAAAAAAAAAAAATCTATTGGTAGTAGGCAACTACAAAAAAATTTAATGTTTTCTTAGTCTTTTTACAAAAAAAAAGAATGATTTAATGTTTTCTTAGTCTTTTTACAAAAAAAAGAGAATGATTTAGAGTTTAAAATCATCTTGATACAAAAAAAAAAACACTTTTATAAGCAGGGTTTTGTTTTTCTTACTAAAAAAAAATTTTAGAGATCTTTTCAATTGTATTAATCAGTTGAAAAGAGTTGTCTTTTGTATTAAAAAAAAATTTATAATTCGAGCCTTGAGTATTACCCAAAAAAAAAAAAAAAAAAACTTTATAAGTGAATGCTTTGTTTTTTTGCACTAAAAAAAAAAAAATTAAGATCTTTTCAGGGGTAGGAAAAGTTATTAATTTTTTTTTAAAAAAATTCAAACCTTGAGTATTACTTTAATTATGGGACGAGCACTAAGTGAAGATTTCTGCTGGAGAATAGTATATCTGCATGCAGATAGTTGCAATGAGCATGAGATAGCTGAAACACTTTATATTAGTCAATCATCTGTTAGTAGAATTCTTGTAACCTTTAATAAATTGAGACATATTGTTAATCCATTTAAGATTCCACCAAGAAGGTGGAAGTTATTTTCGCGTAAAGAATTAAATATTCTTAAGAACCTGGTTAAAGAAAAGGTTGATTGATATCTCGATAAGCTGGTAATTGGGATGGAGAATTTAACTGGTAAATGTGCCTCAATTCCTGCCTTATGGTATTCACTAAAGTATTTAAAAATTACTTATAAAAAAGTAATAATTTAAACTAGTTTTTTAATTATATATATATATATATATATTATTTTAACTAATATTATTTAAGTTGCAAAGGGCAGCATGTAAAAGGAATAAAATTATCTGTTGTGCATTTATTGCCAAGATCAGAATGAATTATAGTCCAGAACAATTAATTTTTCTGGATAAAAGTGCAAAAGATGAACATAGTCTTACATGATATTATGGATATATATTAGCTAATGCATGAGCATGCAAAGCCTATGTTTTTCTACAGGGTAAACAATATACTATTTTACCAGCATTATCATTAGATGGAATTATGGCTGTTGATATAATAGAAGAAAGCTGTACAAAAAATCAATTTTTAGAATTTGTGCTATCACAATTAGTTAGTACTTTAATTTTAAATTTTATAAAATTATATTATATAAATTATTAAATATTTTTTGAATTAGATCCCTTTAATGAATCTGTGTCTGGGTAAAAATAGTGTAATTATACTTGATAATACAAAAATTCACCATGATAAAAAGTTGGTTGAAATAATAAGAGGGTTAGGCTGTCATATTGAATTTTTTCCAGTTTATTCACTAGACTATAATCCAATTGAGACTGCATTTAGCACTATAAAAAGTTGGATTAGACGTAATAGAGATTTTATGAATGCATCTGATGATCTTATTCATACTCTTATAGTAGCATGTTCTCAAATTACATCTGACATGGCGGAGAGATTTTTTAAAGGGTCTATATATATATAATTATCTAATTTTTTTTTTAAAAAAAAAAATTGAATTAGTTTTTTCAATAAATTTTTTTTTACAACCCGTATAAATAGAGCAATACAAATACTTGTAGTATATAATTTAATAAATTAGTAGTGTATACTACGTTAAATATATGTATGTGTATATGGTTGGTGAGGTTACAACTACTGTATATATAAAGTGTATAGTATAAAACATATATATAATTTATACAAATATGATGTTTATCATAAACTTTTTTATAAGATTACTAAGTAAAATGCTACATGAATCTACATAATCTTATGTGACTAAATATAATATTTTAAAAATATTTTATGAATTCTATGGACCTTAAAATAAGGATAAAAGTAACCGATCGATGCATTAGTATCTTGTGCATGTGATGCACATGCCTTACGTGTTGAATCAATTATGATTATAGGATTAAAAAAGATCAATTATGCGATGGTTGGTATCATGCAATAGTATACTTAATTTATTCAGAATGCAAATTATTGGTTCACAAAATATTAAAAAGTAATAAATTAACAGATTACATCAATCCTAAACATGAAGCAACTTGATTTGTACATGTTGACAAGGGTCAATAGATTGAAAAGAAAGAGAAGAACTGGGATCAAAGAATGAATCAATTAATAATCAATTAATTAAATTGCATGAATCAACATGCAGCCAAGAAATACGTAATTAAATAAGCTACTGACTATGATTGATATATAAACAGTTGACAAAGAAAAGTCAATTTCAATACTCTTTCCCACTTCAATACAATAGTCTTTGGCAAACAAATTTCTTAACCCACCTCTTCTTCCACACACTATAGTTTCCTGATTCTGCTATTTTCCTATTTAATAGCCAGCCTGCTTCGAGCAGGTGGGAAACCACCGGCTGATGCTGCTTCTCGCTTGTTCTACTTCTCGCTCATTCTACTGTAACGATAATACCTGTGCAATCTTACTTGCTAATTTTCTGGGAGCTTATCATTGTTTTAGTTCGATTTACTTAGCTAAAATTACTTAGCTAAAATTATTCATAATGTATTCTGCGGACATTATATCCTTTAATTGAATTTATTTTTAGCATCTTTGGCTAGTCAGTATTGATCCAAACATGACCAGTCGTACCGATGCTTTTTGATAGAATTAATAGCTTTATTAAAATCATACTTTTTCTAGAGTGCTGGTCAAAATCCCGACAAACAGAATCTCGACAGGTCATAATCCTGACAAAAAAATTCCGACAGTAAAAATCCCAACCAAATCCCGACAACCAAAAATTATTAAGTTAGTGTAGGGTTAGGTGAGTGCATAAATTAGGGTTAGGGTGTGCGCTTAGGTTAGAGTTAGGGTTTAGGCGATTATATAGTAAAATTGCTCAAATGAATACTTTTTTTGATTGTCAGGATTTGTCGTTGTTGGGATTTTTTTGTCAGGATTATGACCTGTCGGGATTTTGTTTGTCAGGATTTTGACCCAAACCCCTTTTTCTATAGTAAGTAATAATACAAAAATCTAAAAAATTTTAAAAAACTATTTATGTAATATATTAATATAAGATTTCTATTAATATTTTTTAGCCTCTTGTTTTATATTTATACACTATCCAAATTGAGTCACACCTAATTTGTCTAGTTGTTTATCTGTTAAATCTTTTATATCATTTACTGTAACTCCATGCTTTTCAAATGAATTTTCGAAACTAGTATATAATTCTTTACTGTTGTGAATTTAATCTAATTTAGAAAAAAATTCTTTTAAAGAAATATTACTCCTAGTAGCTTGAAATTGAGGTATTTGATAATAAAATGAACTATAAGGATATAAGTAAGGATTGAAACCTGATAATAAAGTTGGTGGTTGATTTGATAATATAGATGATAACATATTTGGTAGTATAGATGTGATTTGATTATAAGATGCAATTTGACTATTAGCGTTAGATGTAATTTGATTATGAATTTTGGGTTTAAGTACATGCATCATTCCAAATGCAGGATAAGTAGGCGGTGTATCAAGCATAGCTAAGTTTTTAATCTAAAATTTTGTAATATGTATATAATAAATAAATATTTAATATAAAAGCAATTAATTTATATATATCATACATACTATATCGTGAGCCCATAATGTTAAGCGAGCCACATTTAATTGGAGGTGATGTTCATCTTCAACATAACATAGCGTAACATGCTGTGAACATTTATATTTATTTCGTAGTTTATAATAACATGAGCTTGATTATATTCGTCTTCATTTAAATCTGATTCTTTAGGAGGTTTTGATTTTTTTTATTTAATATTTTTGTCATTACTGGCATTCTAAATAAAAGAATATTTATTAATATAATTAAAATACAGAATAAAATATTAATGCAGTATATAATAAAAAAAATATATATATATACTTCAGATTTTCTTTTACAAAATTGTTCTGGATCTTTTAGAACAGTATAAATTTATATTCTTTTTGCCAAATTATCAGGTTCTTTATATTCTTCTATAAAATTCAAAAAATCATCTTTCTCATTTATACACATAGCCTGTTCTTGACCATTTATTTTATAGATTACTTCATAATTATTATAGTCAATATATCAAAGATCTAAACACTTTCGTATATAATTATTTAAACTCAATTGAAACAAGTAGAATTATTGATTTCTTTCTCTTTAAATATAAACTATTTTCCTATAGAACTAGTTTTTTTTGTATCAATAATAATTTTCATCTTTAACTCGATCAGATTAACCATTTGATTTGTCTTTGATTGTGTTACTTCTATTTCATTATTATAGTTATGGTCAATTGTATCCTGGTCAATAATATCATAGTTGCTTAAATTATAGTCATTATTAATATCATAGTTGCTAGTATTATGGTCATCATTAATATCATAGTCATTTGTATTATGGTCATCATTAATATCATAGTCATTTGTATTATGGTCATAGTCATAGTTAATTATGTCATGATCGACTATATCATTATCGACTATATCATGGTCGACTATACGATGGTTAATTATATCATAGCTGATTATATTATGATTTTGTTGGTCTTGATCAATTGTACTGTCTTGGCTTATTTTATTAGTTTCATTTGAGCTGTTTACTTTTTTAGTCTGATCAAATCTTGAATTACAGGCTGAGCAAAATGTAAGATCAAAGTTTTTATCGAAGTTACTATTATAGCCAAAAAATTTACTTCGCTCTTTTAACTAAGTAAATTGAGCTAAGCGAGTTTTAGAAATTTTATAACATCAGTTATGAATTTGTTTCTCTCATATAGATCGAAACTTATCATTACGAGATAGTTTTATTTTTAAATCACATGAACAAGAATTATTTTTTAAGTCTTTAAAGCAAAAAAGGCATTTTAGGCAACTATAGCAGATGCCAATTTCATATTTGTAACGTTTTGGTAAAAACATATATAATAAAAACTTTATCATTATACTTGATATATAATTAGTTATATATATTATTGGCCTTATTGTTCTCTGACAATTACAAATAATTAATTATTATACATGCAGGATATATGCATATATGCGGACTCATGGATTTACGGGACTCAAGGGACTCATGGACTCAAAAAAACAATTGCAAAAATTCGCCAATCCAACTAAATCGAAAAGAGCAATAAATATTTGAAAAAATTTTTGAAAAAAAGAAGCTTTTATATAATCTACTCTAAGCTATATCTTATTAAAAAAAAACAAATAATAATAATAATGCTTACTTGCTAAATTAAATATAATATTGTATATATTTTATTTAATTTTGCTATATCTACAATTTACAAATTAGAGAATAAAAACCTATAAAGCATGGAACAATTAATAAAGTTCAAGATGAAAGGTTTTATTTAAAGAGATTCTATATATGTACATTGTGAAAGGGTGAATTGTGGCTTGAAATTATTTTTTTGGGCATAGCAGATCAAGGTGGGTCAGAAAAAATATATTGGATCTGTCTAATATGTCAGTTCTGTCAGATATGTTGGATTTGTTAGATATGTTAGATCTGTTATATAGGTTATATCTAATAGATATATTAGAAATATTATATATTTTAAATAGAATTAGATTGTAGCCAATGAATATATATAAGGCCTAAGAGTTTGTCTTGAATAAAGTCAGTTAATGTTTTGCGCAAATAACTCATAAAAGTTCATTCTCCTAATAACTTAGGCAAGCTTCTATATTTTCTTTCGTAGTCTACCACTATTAGAGTTCAATAGAGTTTAGTGGTATAGTGTGTTGATTTGGATTAGTTTAGTATTAGTTGATATCTATGAGATCTATATTTTGAGATACTAGAACAGATTTGCCGCTTACAACATACATACAATAAGTAAATGAAGTTCTATCTAATAGAATTTATCACTGTAGCTAATTACTTAATAATAACTAGCACATATTCAAGAAATGCTATAAAGAAAAAATATTATATAAATATTATAAGGTTTAATTAATAAGACACATGAACGATGAACATAAAGTTTACTATTGTATATGTATTTTTAGCATATAAATTCAAAATAAAGTTTTATAGCAATACATATATCAAATTATGGAATCAAAAATTGATTTGACTTATTGAATCTTATAAATACAAACAGAATATAATAAAAAAGATTTGGGCAAGCTCAGAATGATCAGAATGATAAGATAGTGCATATAAGATAAATAAGAAATATAATCTTATAAAATTTTTTATATAAAACCAGAATTAAATTAACAAAACAACCACAACTGTCATCAATACATTGAAATAGTTGAACAATTACATATATACAAAAATATGTTAAATATAACAAAATCTAAAAAAAAATTACTCTAATCAATATTCAAGACTTAAATTCTAAGAGTATAATTTAGTTTTAATAATTATAAAAATTAAAACCTAAATTAAAAAAAATTCTAAAAGCTAATACATATATAGTATTTAGATCTAAGAATTAAAAAAAATTAGAAACTAGAACCTAGGCATGGCCCGGGTCTTAAGAGCTAGTGCCGATAGCTCTATAGATAAATCAAAAAAGCTATAAGACAAGCTTTATCGATTTATCTATAAAGCTATCAATATTTTGATATGTATTTGTATTTTAAAGGTCTTCTATTTGTGCCAAATATCTGTTTTAAATCAGTTTTATATCAAGATTACATGATGCCGATTGGTGCCTGATTTGCCTTTATTTGACATGTGTCTCTCTTTATAAAGTTTAAGCATATTTTGATAATCTCTTTAACAATCTTGCAAACCTATTTGCCAATAACTACTCCTCTTCTCCAATATTATACTTTAATCATACTAATCTTTACAATCTATACTTTATTTTACTATAAAAAGAATGCCCTATTGAAAGCCCCACTAGATGATTTATTAAAACAATTTGCAAAGCACCCACTACTGCTCTATAGTCCTCACAACAATATGTCTAAGAATAGTCACATTTCTCTTATCTAATTAACTAGAAAGCTTTCTGGTTATATTTTAATAATAATTAAAAAATCTTGCACAATTTTACTAACCCCAAACTAAATTTTTTAAAATTATTTAAAATCAAAATGCTCTTTAATATCTTACCAACACATGCATATTTTTATTCTATCTATTCTCTCATTTTCATATCCTACAACTGCTTTTTCTGCAACTGTTTAGATACTCCTTTTCACTGGTATACTTGCCTTAACAATACTCTTCTAACTCAAACTATTCATTCCTCTATATCTAATATTATCTTTAACTCCAACTATAATTTTTCTATACACCAACAACACAATCTCATATATACTATTTCTTCATACTCTTTTTTTAATCCTCTATCTTCATCGCTTTACCTCTACTCGCTTCACTCTACACTTAAAGGTCTTATACTAATATTTTTAATCCAAACTCTTAACTTTTTTGATATCTTCTATTCAAATACTTCTCAGCTTGTTATACAAATACTTTTCAAAATCTCTAACCAACTATATTATCAAATATAGATTTCTTATTGCATTAACTTCTCTTACTAGAAAAAAGTATATCAAATCTCTCTTCAACCCAACTCTAATACAACACCTAACCTGCCCTTACCTCTTACAAATAAGAGAACCAAAATTGAATATATCTATAACTGCTCCTGCAGCTTTGTTAACCAACTATACTCTGAACCCAACACTTGCTCTTCTCAAAGACAAGCACTTACCAAACTTGATATCTGGTTTACTAAGTGAATTAGATATAGTATATCTATTAACAATATCTTAACTATTCAAATCTAGGTGAGTCTTGACTACTCTAGTAGGTTTAGATTACAAATAATTAGTTTAAACTTTTAGTTTGAGCTTTTAGTCTAAGCTCTTATTCTTGTATATAATTTATATTTATTTGTCTTTGTACAAATTAAGTTTTTATATAGTTTCTATGTAATTACTTATATAAATTAATTAATAAAGATATGAGCAAGGCCTCATCTTAATACTTAAAAAAAAAAAATAAAAATAAGTTTGTATTATATAGATATGTAATAATACACAGAAAGCATTATTTTGAACTCTTGCATATTATTTTAGGATGTGCACATATAATAATTTAAATAATTATCCTAATTTTGAAGAAAAAAGTTACAATTAATATATATATAATAAATATGTAATTAATATGTAATAAATATAATAAAAAAATTTAATATAAAAATTTTATATATAATAATTTTATATTATGTTTTGCGAATTGTAATATTTATATAATATTATATATACTATAATAATTTTAATTTTTGCAAATATTGCAAAATATTTCAAATCGAATATTGAAATATATTGCATAATATTTTATAATATTTTTTCATAATATTCTATAATTAATTGGCAAGCCTCTTGGCTATACTTCAACAATAACCAAAAGATCTCATATAATTTTATCAATTTTAAACTAAATTATTTAAAATTCTTTATAATTAAATTACTTTTAAATATCTTACTAACTAATTTTTATTTCTATTTTATATATCTTTTTATATTTACATTTCTAACTGCTTTTTTTATAATAGCTTAAATACTCCTTTTTACTAGTATATATATTCTAATAATACTCTTCTAATTTAAAATATTAATACTTCTATTTATGAGATTATCTCTAATACTAGTCTGAATCTTACTTCTCTTTTTTTTTTTATAACATTCGGCAGTCTTGGCTTCACTTTATTAGGCTTTGTAATAATTCTCTAAACTATTAAAATTTTCCAAAGAGTTAAACTTCTCAGTACCTAAATTACAAGTAGAGACTCACCCAGTTGTTCATTGAGTACCTATGTGCTGAATCTTACTTCATATTAACTTAACAACTTAATATATATAATTCTTTCTTATTTTTCTTTTAATTTTCTACCTTCTATATTATATCTCTATTTACTTCACTTTACACTTAAAGGCATCATTCCCAAATCCTTAATCCAATCTCTAAACTTCTTTGATATCTCTTACTCACAAGCCTCACAACTAATTATACAAATACTTTTTAAAATTTTTGATCTTACTTACAACAATATATATATTTTATATTGTACAAACTTTTTATATTAGAAAAAAGCTCACTAGATTTCTACTCACTTTATACTTAATATATTATTTCATACTTCTTTATTCCAAAATCATAGAAGAAATAGAACTATATCTACTATTAGCTGCACTTGTAGCTTTGTTAACTATTTATATTCTGAATCTAATATCTGTTTTCCTCTAAAATAGATTTCTTTAAAGTTAGATATTTGGTCTATTATGTAAATTAAGCATAGTATATTTATTAAACATATTCTACCTATTTAAATCTAGGTATGTCTTGACTACTTTAGTAGGTTTAGATCACAGATAATTTAGTCTGAGCTTTTATTTTTGTATATAATTTATATTTATTTATTAGTATACAAATTAAGTTTTTATATAGCTTTATATAATTACTTATATAAATTATTAAATAAAGATATAAGCAAGACTTTATCTTAATACCAAAAAAAAAAAAATTTAATTTTGTTTTAGCTCTTGTATATAAAAAATACAATATAGATTAAGTTTAAAAACTTCTTTATTGCTAGGTATTTTAGAGATATTTTTTAAGAAATTTAATGAAAGTGCTTTGAGTTAAGAAGTACTCTTTTTTTTATATAAATTTCAGAGATACTTGGATAAATCTTGCTAGCTATATTAATAAGTTTAAAATAATATTTTAGTTTTCTCTTTTTACCTATATACTTGTGAGAAAGAAATTTTAGCATTTTCACTTTGAGATTTTATAATATTATTTTGTGTATATATATTTTATTGAAAATATCTTGAAAACATATTATACATATAAAATATAATCTTCTACATGTTTAATCTGCTTCATATTTATTGAAATAATTAGAGAAAAACTTGTTTTTACTTCTGGTAAGTATAATATAGTGCTCAAGAATCAAGATCTTAGAAAAAAAGCATCACAGCAAAGTAATATTACTATCAAAGATAAAGAAAATAAATTAGAAGTTTTGAATATACTAGAGTTAGTAGATAAGCTTCTCTTATAGATTA